CTTTGCCGTCTGCCAAATTCTGATGAAACAAATTACAGTAGCTACTACTGTAATTACCCCAGTCTTTCATACTTTGGGTATTTGTTCGACAAGAATGTTATGTCCGCCATCCCTGTGAATTCGGCTCAGCACCTATTGGACTCGAATGCTGCATTGGCGTTCGACGTGAACTGGGGCCCATTCGTGTGCTTTGCGCCGAAAAAAATGGTGACGGTTGTGTTGCTTGATAAGGTTCTGCAAAGGGTCTATTGTGTCATACATATAGGAAGTGTCATGCTATATAACAATGCATCAACACATACTATTAAACTATATGCTCAGGGGTGTGTTTGTTTTTCCAATTAACAAGTTACAGCAGTGTGCTTTAATGCTATTATCATGTGTGTAGTTTTAAGTATCCTCTCTGCAATGCCTACGAAGGCCCCTGGAAGGAATAAATTAATAGATAACATTTTCACATCACTGGAGTTGGTTTTCGGATGCACCACATGTTCAGGAAAGGTTGATTGAGTGCAGCCCCTTGCAAGAAGTCTGCCAGTCTGGTATGACCCCTTAATTAATATTGAAGGGTCAGAGAAGCGAGTGTCCTCGTAAGGTCCAGAGCGTGCAATGGACACAATTCTCGGTGTGTAGACTCTCAAGGCATGAAGGCAAGCGGAAATATGTTTATCTGGTTAGTGTATCAAATATGTTTATTTCCACTTGATTACAAAATTATTGATTCTTAGTAAATGGTTCCATAACGAGTTCTTTCTGCGACAGTCTCGTGTCAGGCGTTCAGTCGTAGTACCTGTGGACCTTGTTGTCGGATGACGCTCCTGGCACGTCGGTGTTCAGTTTGGTCGAGTGGCAACTTTGACCGACTGATGCTGTCTTGTAATCATACGTCATGTGCACTGAAGCTGCAGGGCTGGCTTCTAATCCAAAAATTTTCCTGGTAGTTTTCGGCATCAATGTAGCAAGTTCGGGCATGTATTGCTTACATGGCTGTGCCTTTTGCTGTACCGTTGACTTGAAAGCTGGCAACAATTTTTGTTTGCTATCCAAGTCTGGTGATGCTTGCAGTTCACTTTTGAGAGCAACCAACCATTCTATTCCTTCAAGTCACTCAGGGGCATTCTCCCTCAAAGTTGGAATTGTGTGCTTCGTGGAGTGGACACAGAAAATTGGTGTCAGCAAATTTTTAGGTATTGTCCTTGGACGACAACCGACACCAAATCCACTGTCACTGCATCGCCGCTCACCTGCTTTGTCGTGCTTACCTCTTGTTGAGGTGATGGACATGAGGAGCTTTGGGGTAATCAGGGATTCAGAATCTTCGATTCAGCACCTTCGGCATCAGGGACAAAGGTCGCCGAAGGTAATCCTTAATCTCCCGTGGTCACTCCTCGAGACGTAATCGAGGGTCGTTTGGCACGAACCCTCGCCGACCAATTCATTGGTACGGGCTGCTTTGGTAGACATGGTAGGCTTCATGCAGTGGTAGCAAAGTGGTTTTCGGTCGCACATTCGCATCACCTACGTTTTCCTCGGTGTACTTTGTTGAGCACAGTCCTACACACAATGTCGGGAATGCTTCAGCGTTAGAGTGTCTCATTGAATTGGCATTGAATACTAAGGGGCAGCCGGTGGCGGTCGTCGTGCCATTGTGGCGTAAGTTGCTCTTGGTTTGTCAGATGCCGCTTCGCTCGCAGAAGTCTCGGTTGAAATACCTGTCAAACTTGTTCCGAAACAATCTCGGCAATCAAAATAAAAGCCGGGCAACTGGTGGCAGGAAGTAGCTTCCTGATCTCCTCCCAGACAACGTCGTGGGTGATGTCGTGGATGCCTGGGAGGCTGGCATCGAAGTAGTAGCTGGACAACTCGACTGTCGAGACGCCGGGAAGTTGCACATTCCATGTTGGAAGCCTCAGTGATATGAACACTTCGACTGTTGTTGGGGGGTTGCGGACAAGGCTGCCGAAGGTGTTGTCCCTCACGTGAGGCGCATGGGATTCTTAGGTTCTTGTCTTCTGTAGCATCAAGGTCGGCGTGGGCGTGGGCGCTCGATCAAGCGCAAAACATCCTCCACGAGTGCGGTGGCGCTCTCATTGGGGCAGTGTCCTGGACAGAATCAAGAATACGGCTCTCTTTCGTTGATGTTGGCTGACGGATGCGCGCTTCAGCTTGATCTTGCAAACTTCCCATGACGTTAAGGAGGATCCAGTTGCTTCCACGAGAAGTATCGGTTCTGCAGGAGCTGGTTGTCTGTCCACCCAATGTGGCGGGCAACACTGTCATATTGTTCAATCCAGTCCTTGACGTTTTCATACAGCTTGCGTGAAAAAGCGTCGGAGTGTGATTTGCGACGGGCATGCAAACAATGGTGGGAGGGGACACGTTTTGCTGCTACAGGTTTGTCATTGTAGGCTTAGTCAGCTTCGGATTTTCTGACAGGAGACCGAATTCCGGTGGTTTTTCCTGGTAGCAGCAACTGGCTCGGATTTCAGGTGCTTCGTGATGTATTTCCGAGGTTACTCCTTGTGGTACTCGGTCGTCTTGCGGTTGTTCTGCCAGGCTCGGGTCAGGACTTTGCCTACGGCTCGACAGGAGTATAAGACGCAGAATAGTCCGCCAGCCGTGTCCCATTATCGGGTAACTCGGCTGAAGAGCCGCCGGGTTCACACAGAGTGAAGGGCTACGGGTAAGGTGCCCAGTACCTCCACCTGAACATACGATTACAGCTGAGCATGACCTGCAGTGTCCCAGGATAGTGAATATTGATAGAAGATAGGACTGGAACAAGGATCCGTGACAGTATAACAAAACTAGCAGAAGAGAATCTATGCTGACCACTGAAGAAGCTGCATTGCTTTAGTGGCATTCTGTCCGAATAAATCCTCTCCTTCGGGGTTTGGCGACTGCCGTGGACGACTGAACTGAAATGGATTTGGGACCACTTTTCTGGTAATGAGCCACTGCAGACTGTTGCCACAAAGCGGCGTGAGCTGGGTACGTAACACGCTCGGTGAAATGTCCGGACAGCTTGCAATTCGCGTAACGAGTGTGGATGAAACGTTTGTGTTGACGAAACGTGCGACAGACCAGCGGGATCAATACCAACTGCAACACCTGTGCTCCGTGAAAGTGCACGTCTACGCCGGAACAATTTCGGAAGCAGCACAGCATCACCTAAAGCATGGCACAGGAACTACCAGCTTGAAGGCAGCTCTTCGGTGCGCCGCACACCTGTGCTCCGTGAAAGTGCACTTCTACGCCGGAACAATTTGTAAGCAGCACAGCATCATTCAGCACGGCACGGGAACTACCAGCTTCAAGGCCGGTGCGCCGCACAACCGAAGTGAGCCCTCCGTCATTTGATCGAAGCTGCACCGCGATTGCACACCGCCAAGCACGACTCAGGCAATTTCGGTCGCTAAACTGTGTATCCAAATATATTGCACACGCTTCACTGCAAACCTCGAAGATTCCGATGGTCAACGAGAGCACAGAAACGTCGCCTTAAATTTTATCCTAGCGGTATCCGAATCAATCCGGGGTCCGAGCAACGTAGGTCAGATTGTCTCTCCCGTGGCAATATCCCGGTCGGTCACCAGCGAAATGCACACCGTTTCTCCGTATTTTCACGTTATACCTACGTCAAACACCACGCTGAACTCTGAACTCGCTTTCGACCGGCCTCATATGACAGCTTCCGCGTCTGAAATCAACTCGCCGAGACGAACGACAACCAACAAAGCATCCGACAAGCTCCGGCCCAGCTGGGGCCAGCCGCTGCATGGGCGCTGCCATCTTTCCTGTGACGTCACGTATTTGGTTTGGTCATGTGACGTGTGGTCAAATTTGCGTACAATGGCAGCCTCCTTATGGGGGTCACTTTCGAGTGCAGACCGGAACCCCGGTTTATCGCTCTAAGCCCCTCTACCTCGTTGGAAAAACCCTACACAGGCCCTCAATAATTCCTACATGTCCCCAAATCAGACAAAAAAAGTCCCTGTATTTGTCTTTATGCAAAACAAAAAGAAAAAATACGCCAAAATTGCGCCGCAGATTAGTAGATTGATAAGTAAATAAATGAATCCGGCTGAGCCTTTTTGATTGGGCGGTAGCTTGCGGCACCTAGCCATTTTATTTGACCATTTAAGTTGGATGGATGGATGGATGAATACGGCTGAGCCCTTTGGATCGGGCGGTAGCTTACGCTACCTAGCCATTTTGTTTTACCATTTAAGCTTAGATTATTTAAATGTGAAATCTATATTCACTCCGCAGTGCAAAGAAAGTGAGGCTATGAAACCCCCTTGCCATCAGTGAATAAGAAAATACCTAGTTTTCTCTCGATTTCTGCCACCATTCACTTAATCTTTGCTTGGTAATCTCTACAGTCTTGAAATCCACTCTCCCTTCGCTGTCTCTAAAACCCAATGACTTTATTAAATCTATGTTGTCTTCAGTAGGCATAGGGTGAAGCCCTTTACAGTAGAGTATCAAGTGCTCAGCCGTCTCGTCCTCCTCTCCACAAGCAGTGCACACTGTATCAATTTCCTGGTACTTCACTCTGTATGTTCTGGTTCGCAGAACACCCGTTCTTGCCTCAAACAGCAATGAGCTTCCCCTAGAATTGTCATAAATGCTTTCTTTGGCAATAACTCTTTTGTTTAATCTATAGCTTTCCAGAGCCGTCTTTGTCTGCATTCCCTCTAGCCACCGATCTCTTTCTGTGGCCTTAACTTTCTTCTTAACTGAGACTTGCTCTTCCGTATCTTCGCTATAGCCCAAAAACTTTCCTCTTAATTTCCTAGTGCGCTGTCTCCACTTGGTGTCTACACTCCTCATGTATAAATAGCTGAAAACCTTTCGTGCCCATTGCTCCCCGTCCATTAGCCTCAACCTATCCTCAAATTCTACCTTGCTCACCGCTTCCCTGCTCTCAAATGATGCCCATCCCATGTGGTACGCGACCGGCGCGCCGCCGCGCGGCCGTCAGACAAGACAGTTGACGAGAATCCGAACAGACGGAAATCACTACGTTTCGCCGCCGCCATGGCCGCCATTCCAATCCGGCCGCCGCGTTTCGCTCCTGCGTCGTTAACGCACTGATAATTCGTATCATGAATTGCTGCGTGGTCGGTTGTACCAACAGGTACACGTCGTGCCCCACGGGGACGACGTTTCACCGTTTTTCAACTCGTCCGTGCTTCGTCGGGCAGCGGCAGCAGTGGATCACGGCCGTGCGACGAAAGAAGTAAGCAGGGTTCCCGCGCGATCGTGTCTGCCGTCGCTCTCTCTGCCGTCTCGCGTTCTGCGGTTTTGTTTTTCTTTTGTCACTGACGTCTGCATATTTCAGTGCCGACGGAACAAAGTGGAAGCCCACTCGGCACACGAAGATATGCAGCGTCCATTTCGTTGGAGGTGCGCCGTCCAAGGATGTGTCCTCACCGTCGTACGTGCCGACGATATTTCCGGACGTGTACCGTAAGCGGTCCGTGCTTCCGGAAGATAAGGCTGTACGCTATGAAAGGTGAGAACTCCGCGAAATAGGCTCTTTCTTTTTTAACTAGCTGTTTGGGTGCCCCCCCCCCCCCCCCCCCCCCCCCCCCTTCCCCAAGAATTTGTCTTTCGGTTTGCGCGATGGTTCGTGTCACCGATTCGGCTGCTGGCAAAGGCGCTACCGCTAGAACAGAGGTGCACAAACTGAGGGTCGAACCCGCCCCTCTTAAGAGAGGTCACGGGACAATAGCCGCGTTTACATGAATGCGACTTAGTCGCATCGAATCCAGTTGTCGCATTCAATGCGGTCATGTAAACGGCATAATGCGCTAAGAAAGCGCATCGCATTCAAGCCGCCAGACAGAGGTGGATCGAGATGGTGAGTGCGCATTCATTCAGCCCATGTAAACGGAGGTCGCATCGCATTTTGGAACGGGGAGGATTATGGGAAGGCGTTCGCTGCGGGAGCGAGTGAACAGCTGAGAGCATGGCGGCGGCCAACCTCGTTGGCGGCGCGGAGAGCGGTCCCGTATGGTCGCCGGCAATTTTTTCCCGAGAACAAACACGAGCTTTTATTGCCATCATAAGTAAGCGGAATATAGCGGAGCTGCTCGGTAAAGGCGGCCCCCGTCCAAGCCTTGCGAAGCTCGACTTGCGCGTCCCAAAGGGTCCCAAAGGCTTAGGCGCAAGCACGAACGACACCGAGAGCTTCGAGCACTGTAGAGCACTGCATGGTAGCACAGAACGAGCGGCTCCTACCTCGGTGCCGTTCCTGGCTGCGCAGGAGCCTTTCGGACTCGGGGGTCCGGTTGGTCCGGTCGCGATCGCGGCGAGGTCTGGCACGGCGAAGCGCGGAGGCTTCCTCAAAGCGTGCGCACACACGTCGCCTCTGGTCCAGGGTGACCCGGCAGCCCGGCCTGGAGCCCTAAACGCCTTGGGTTTTGATGTTTGTTCCGTCTCGTAACTTCTTTTTACAGCACCAAAGACAGCGGGCACAATATTTACGTTCACTGAATGCGTCGAAAGGACTCCACATGCGACGCACCGGAAAACGTGGTGTGGCTGGTTCCGGAAGAGCATAACTTCGAGCTTTGACACGGCGTGGTGCCACCTTCGTGTAGGGCTTGGTGCACATTCATGTAAACGTTGCCGCGTCGGCTTCGTTCGAAGAACGAGTGGAGTCGATGCGCTGAAGTCGCTTTTAGAGCGCAGCTCTTAGGGGCCCGTTTCCGGCTTGAGCGCCGTCGCCGTCGGCGTAACCGCGAGGTCACGTGACCCCCCGAGGTCACGTGACACCCAGAAGTCACGTGACCGCCTTGAGGTCACGTGACCCCCAGGAGTCACGCGACCCCCTGAAGTCACGTGACCGCCTTGAGGTCACGTGACCCCCTTAGGTCACGTGACCCCCAGAAGTCACGTGACCCCCTAAGGTCATGTGACCCTTCAGGTCACGTGACCCCCGAGGTCACGTGACCCCCAAAGGTCACGTGAGCCCCTGAGGTCACGTGACCCCATGAGGTCACGTGACCTCAAGGAGTCACCTATCCCTCAGTACGCTTCCATCTTCCTCCTCAAGAGCTGCGCTCTAACCGGCGTTACAGGGAATTGTAAACGGCTTTCATTTTTATGTAAATGAGGCTAATGTCTGGTGGCCACGGCTCCTCAGAGAGCTCCAAAAATTAACATGGGAATGGGGCGGGGATCGCCGGACGGCACTCGGAAGCTTTGAGAGGTCGCGGTCCCACAAAGTTTCCGCACACAGCTTGGCTTGCACGAGAGTTTGGGCAAAAAAGAACAGCTCAGTGAGCTCGCGCAAACGAGGTAGCTAAGAGCGCACCATGAGTGGTGGATGCTTCTAAATAGCAGTGCATGTAGCCATTCTTGGAGTAATCAAACGTGCAAAGTGTACAGCAAAAACACAAATTTGCATGCGGAACAAAAATCGAGTCTGTTTATTCTCCTCTTAAGGGATTTGTTGCATCTTTGTTTTGGTATTTTGCCGAAGCCCGAGAGGGAGAGGGGGGGAGCATATTCATGATACCTGTTGGCTGTGAATGAGATGATGAGATTGCAGTAATCTAAAGCACTTCTACTGCCGCGCCTCAGTCTGTGCGTGCTACGTCAGTTTGAGGCAGACATTGCTGCTTGCAACTGTTTGAAAACTATTCAATGCCAGCCTGCACAGTGATTAATTGGGGAAGTGACGGTGTGAATTTTTCTTCTTAGAATGATGAAGCGGAGAACAGCCGCAACAACTGTTGTAAATCTCGCCCACTCCTCAACATCCTCGCCGAACGTGCCACAAGCTACACCACCTGCGGCCACCATGGACGCACCACCTTCTCTAGCACCAGCAGCCACACCCCCGCTGGAGGAACCTGAAGGCACCGAGGAGAATAATGAACCTAGAAAGCTGCAAGGAGTTGAGGTAGATTCTCCTGTACTACCGTAAAATACCAAGCAGGTGCCCACTCAAGGTTTGGAGATTATCGAAAAAACCGCAGGATCGGTGCTTCTCTGGTTTAAGAGCTAAAAGGCAGAACAGACATATTTTCACGAATGACAAATGATAAAGCAGTAAGTAACTGCTTTATCGTTTGTTGCATCGGCAAATTTTATGGAATTTTAGGATGCTTAGAGCGAGTTATCACCCAGAACAAACAATCTCAGTATCCTCTTTAGTACACCTTTAAGCCCGGTTCACACATTTGCCTTTGACTGCACTGTGTTGCGCTGCGTTTAGCAGTGCATTTCCTCTCAACGAGCTGCTATGATAACCGAGCGTCCGGCAATTGAGCATAAGCGCATCGACGCCAGCCTGTGGCTCGTTGCGTCGAGCCAATGGGGAGCAGAAAGCGAACCCACTCGTGGGAGGTTCGCCTCCGTCGGGAATGTAGGTACAAGTACATCGCAGCAGGCCCTCGTGCTACATGGGCCCAGTTTGCGTTATTGTCTGAATGAGCAATGTAACCCCAAACGCACTCAAAGAATAGGTCTCTCAGCACATCACACAAGTTCGGCGTGGTCGACATCGACTTGTGCTCAGCTGCGGCCATGTTGCGAGATGAGTGGATGGGAGCAGCGATGCAGGGCACATAGCTTTTCCGTCACAGAGTTGTCTGGGCAAGTCGCTCCTTTATGGTTTTCTATTGGTGTTTGACTGCACACGACTGTGTTTGGATGCACGTCAATTTCCCTAGCACAAGTTATTGTAGCAGGGAACAACGCAGCGCACTGCAGTGAAGTGCTAATGTGTCGAGCAGCCTCTACTGCCTCCTTTAAAAAGCGCATTGCCCGATGCAACACAAAACAAAACCAAGTAAAACAAAAGAATGGTGCACTTAAAAGTAATCTGGAACAGGAAACATTTACAGTCCTATCGAGCGTGAAACAAATTGGGAAACATGATGTGGATTACCTCGGGCTGCAAAGGGCCACAAGAAAAAAGCTGGGTTTTGTCAGGCGCCACTTCGTAGCTGAAGTCCCCCAGGCGGTAAAGAATCTTGTCAGGCCCAATGCCCGCTGCTGTCTTCTCCCAATCATAAAAGCCTGCGATGGTAGTTCCCTTCTCGTTTGCCACAATAAACATTCATTCAGTTTCACATAGTTTCCCAGGAATGCTGTCACTGTAGGTGAGCCTTGTGAGGGCCTCAGTGTCTTGGTGTGACTGGTTAGGGCTTCTTGAAGCGCCGTGTAGCTGGTGTTCTAGGTTAAGATAACATAGAAAACACCTTTTTCTCTTTTCGGAAAATTGTAACATGCCATCAATTTTATGCAGGTCTCAACTCAGACTCAAAAGACACCGCAAGCCCAGAGCGAAGGGGTCCTGATGATTGCCTGCGCCCTGTTCACTGGTGCATGCGAGGCATCCACGCAGGTTGCATTCATTGCGTCGGAACTACCTGCAACAGCCGACGCAAGTGTCACAGCATTGTGTCTGGAGGACCACCAGCCTAGGGGTTCCATCAAAAAAGTAATAAAACGCTTGAAAAAAAGTTAGTGTGTGCATATTTAGCATGGCATAAATTATGGCCCACATAATGCACAGAGAGCAAGAATACATACCCCCCCCCCCCCCCCTCCAAAAAAAGAAGTCTGGTTAATTGCAGCAGTTTTCTGATTACGTCCATCTGTCCAATGCTGCCCCCCACTTCCACCCTTTCGAAGTTCCACGGCTTCTACACCGCAGCCACCTTTGTATCGCCATGACTTGACCAACTCGACGGCGGAAATGACGTCAAAATAACAAGCCCTGCCTTAGAGTTTCCGTTCCTCAATCAACTTCCGAAAAGGGTGACCCCCTGGCTGCCCTAGCGCAAAGAATGACACAAAATGCGTTGGGGATTGGCTAGCTGGAGAACAGGCCGAAGATGATTGTTGCCGTATGTAACGCAAAACTTGTAAAGAGAAAAAAAACAACTAACAGCAGTAAACACGGCGGCAAAACGCACACACTTGAACTAACGAAAAGTCCCTACGCCGACATGAAACCTCTGTGAAACCTAGATAATAGCGAGTTCGTTTCACACGCACTGGCACCGTTCGAGTTCTCTCCCAGAATGCATCGCACTCACAGAGTGTTGCACGGAAAACTGGACTCAAACGAACTCGCCAAATGCACCGAGTGCAGAAGACTGATGCTGCCGCCATCTATGTGGTAGAAAAGGTACCGACTTCAAACCGAAACTAGCGCCTTTCTGTTCCGAGTGATGCGTGGGAATGCGAGAATGCAGTCGCTACCAACGTTTATCTACAAACGTTGGCAACTGCAACCTGTAGTTTATAGTTGCGATGTCTTCAAGCAGCTCGGCTGCCGTAGAGATAGTTACAGACGGCGTAAATTTCCGCAACCAGCTGTCCACAAAGCAACTGGTTGCGATCTTTCAATCCTTATAACCGTTTACACTGAAGAAAACTGATGATGCTGTCCGAGCAGAAGCTTGATCCGTTTGAGCATGGTATTATGCGTGAACGACTGAAAGGGTACGGCTTAAAACTAGCCTGTTGGAATATCCAGCAAAACTGGGACTTTCGATTTGGATCGTCATTGTGGATTAGATATTAGCCTTGGTGAAGGCGTCGAGAACGAGAGCTTTCTCGAACAAAATACGACGGGGCAAGTTAGCTGCGTAGGTAAATGTTAAACATGATGATGTTACCCAATCCTCGGGTAAAGTCACCATCTTTAGCTTTCTCTGCTGCTTATTGGGCAGTCAGAGGTTTCTGCTGGGGGAGTTTTATCGAATAATGTTAAATTTTTCACCCGCACACCGGATGGTGATAGACATCTCGGGGGCCGCTGTTGCGTTTGTTCTGAGCATTTCTTTACACACTGGTATATTTCAGCGTTTGTACGGCAACAGAGCGATTTAAAACCTGCAAATAAATCACGGGTTGTCGATTGCTTCCTTCGTGAAATAGCAGACGCTCACAATTCAAGCTCGCGTTTGATTTCGTTGCCCGCGGGACGCGATTTCTATCAGAAAATCTACTTTTTTTCCTTTCGGTTCCGCGACACATCGTGGCAGACGAACCCTCGTCGTCTGCTCCCGCTCCTCGCCGGCCCCGCCGGAGCGAGGCATGACGGGATTGCATTTTGGCGCACTCCCGATTTTCTCGGTGCAGCGAGTGCATGCACGCGTGGGGTGTCAGCGCTGAAACGAACTCGGAGAGTGCAACCACTCGTGGAGCGCCGGCCGAAACGAACCCGTTCCACGCTGCGAGTGGGCACGCGTGGGCACGAGTGCCGTGAAACGAACTCGCTATAAGACGTCCCTACTTCCCCACAAAGCGCTCTAGAACACCAAAAGTCCCTACGCGTAGGGACAAATCCCTACGGTTGGCATCACTGTTCTAGATTGGCTGAAACCGTTGAAAGCCAAAAACAGTTTCGGGTTCTGGGGACTAATCCTGGCAAATAGCGGCGCTCGCTCGCCGAGCGGATTCTTGTTTCCCTCGCGAGAAGCGCGCAATCTCTGTGCCGCTTGTAGATCTGGAGCCGGTGGGGGGCTCGCCGAGCCGCTTTTATTGCTTCACTTTCACGGCACTCGTGCCCACGCGTGCCCACTCGCACCGTGGAACGGGTTCGTTTCGGCTGGCGCTCCACGAGTGGTTGCACTCTCCGAGTTCGTTTCAGCGCTGACACCCCACGCGTGCATGCACTCGCTGCACCGAGAAAATCGGGAGTGCGCCAAAATGCAATCCCGTCATGCCTCGCTCCGGCGGGGCCGATGAGGAGCGGGAGCAGACGACGAGGGTTCGTCTGCTACGATGTGTCGCGGAACCGAAAGGGAAAAAAGTAGATTTTCTGATAGAAATCGCGTCCCGCGGGCAACGAAATCAAACGCGAGCTTGAATTGTGAGCGTCTGCTATTTCAGGAAGGAAGCAATTGACAACCCGTGATTTATTTGCAGGTTTTAAATCGCTCTGTTGCCGTACAAAGGCTGAAATATACCAGTCTGTAAAGAAATGCTCAAAACAAACGCAACAGCGGCCCCCGAGATGTCGATCACCATCCGTGTGCGGGTGAAAAATTTAACATTTGTCGATAAAACTCCCCCAGCAGAAACCTCTGACTGCCCAATAAGCATCAGAGAAAGCTAAAGATGGTCACTTTACCCGAGGATTGGGCAACATCATCATGTTTAACATTTACCTACGCAGCTAACTTGCCCCGTCGTATTTTGTTCGAGAAAGCTCTCGTTCTCGACGCCCTCACCAAGGCTAATATCTAATCCACCTATAATGACGATCGAAATCGAAAGTCCCACGAAAAGTTTTGCTGGATATTCCAACAGGCTAGTTTTAAGCCCTACCCTTTCAGTGGTTCACGCATAATACCATGCTCAAACGGATCAAGCTTCTGCTCGGACAGCATCATCAGTTTTCTTCAGTGTAAACGGTTATAAGGATTGAAAGATCGCAACCAGAAATTTGTACAGCTGGTTGCGGAAATTTACGCCGTCTGTAACTATCCCTACGGCAGCCGAGCTGCTTGAAGACATCGCAACTATGAACTACAGGTTGCAGTTGCCAACGTTTGTAGATAAACGTTGGTAGCGACTGCATTCTCGCATTCCCACGCATCACTCGGAACAGAAAGGCACTAGTTTCGGTTTGAAGTCGGTGCCTTTTCTACAACATAGATGGCGACAGCATCAGTCTTCTGCACTCGGTGCATTTGGCGAGTTCGCTTGAGTCCAGTTTTCCGTGCAACACTCAGTGAGTGCGATGCATTCTGGGAGAGAACTCGAACGGTGCCAGTGCGTGTGAAACGAACTCGCTATAAAGTCCCTCGATGTGCCTGTGTTTGTCTTTAGTATAGGGTCTATTCACTGGACGCCATACTTGTGGGTGCTGTTTAGGCCCGCTTCAGACGGGGCCACTTTTCCAGCAATTTTGAGGTTGCTGGCTGGTTGTTCCCTAGCTTTCCCTAGATCAACGCGAATTGCTGAGATCGTGTCCGGCTCGAACAAGCGAGCAACTCGGAGTAATTCGAAGACGGTTGAAGCGGCTGCAGCCAATCGGAGACGCGATATTTTCACGTGACACCCCTGTGGTGGTGATGATGACAGCTAAAGACGTAGTTCTGGTTTGGAATGGATCGTTTTCGGAAATAAACAGTTTCAGAAAAATTAGTTAGTATTCTCAACGCCGTTCAAAGATATAAGAACGCGTTTTTAACTCGTAGCTGGGCGTCTAAATAGTAAAAAAAGAATGAAATTTAATTATGATGATGGCAAGTCGGAGCAATTCGGTTGCTGCGTTTGAACGCGGGCGGCCATTGTTGCTGGTGCTGCGACGTCAAGTTGCTGGGTGAAATTGCTCCGTCTGAAGCGGGCCTTAGAGCGCATGCTCAGAACGAGCTTACACTAATAGCCTGCTAAGACCGGCAATCTTGATGGTGTGGAATGCACGTTGCGAAATAACTGTGGAAGCTCGTCGTCAGCACGCGCTCAGCAACCACGCACACATATATGGCCGCCAGTGAATACTCCCTATGGGGAGTATTCACTGGCGGCCATATCCGTGTGCGCTGCTGCTGAGCGCGTGCTGACGGCGAGCTTCCGCAGTCTTTTTGGAGCGTGCATTTAGCACCATCAAGGTGGCCGGTCTTAGCAGGCTATAAATGTGAGCTCGTTCTGGGCATGCGCTCTAAACATCGCCCTCAAATATGGCGTCCAGTGAATACCTCCTATAGCTTTCAAGTAGCGTCAAATGCGCCAGTGCACGAGGCTCGTGTCTCGAGCGGCCCTTGGAAGCAAATGGCGGCGCTCGTGGCACGTGTCGTGCGCGTTTCCACAACAATGGTTGGCCGTACTTATAAAAGGGTATTCACACGAGGTTGAAATTCCGGGGATTTCCCCATGGCACGCGCATCCCGCGACGAAAACGTCAGGCTTTGCAATGTGCAAAAGCCTCGCGTTTTCGTCCCGTGATGCGCGCGCGCTGGGGAGAAATCTCCGGGATTTCTCCCTCGTGTGATTACCCCTTATAGCCGATTCACACGACGGACCAAATCGCGATTTTCGTCCGCGGACCGTGTACCACGTGACCGGCACGTCACCGATTCCTGCGATCCGCGCCTCCTCCGCGGAGGCGCGGACTGATAAAGTCGAGCGCCTTTTTCACTCGCGGACGTTTGGCGGCAGACTGACTTGGAAAGAATTTAGTCTGGCAACGGTACATGGTTTTCTTGGTATTTTGCTTCTGGTCGTTCAAAACAAAAATGGCGCGTCGTTGCGTTTTGTGCGTTTGTTGGTTCATTTTGTCGTACGATTCTTGGTTCCACGCGTGAGAGAAACTCCAGAAACTTTGTCCGGCTGACGCGACGCAGGTTCCGGTGCTCCTCCGGGTCCGTGTCAAGAAGCTCCCGTCAAAACTCGTTTAGCACGTCGCGATAATTCTTGCACGTCCAATCAGGATTTCACCGAGCAAGCCCTCTTTTGTGGATGTGGTGAGCTTGAGTGTTGTGCACGAGCGCGGAGTGCGTGAAGGCAT